GCAATCCACGCGGACCGCGTGGATTCTGCTGAATGGGATTTTTGGCCCATTTGATATATATTCCAGCCCAATCTTCTCATTGACACTTCAACCCACATGCACAACTCTTGGGAGCCCAATTGTGTTATTCTAAAGCCTCCAATGATGGTCCAATACTCCTTTTGTCTTCCGTAGCTCGAGTCCTCGTCCAAAGACTAAGCCCAACGCGCTTCTCGCTTATACTGACATCAAGCCCAATTGCACCACCTCAAGTCCACAAGCAATCCACAAGTCCCGCAATCCCTCCATACCTCCAGTAACAAATAGTCTTCAGTAAATCCTGCAAACTAAGCTCAAAAGACTGGAAAGCACCCGGTAAAGGAGAAATATAATAAAAAGAGAAAATATGCATTAAGATTAACTAAGATGAGATGGTTTTAACTAAAAATAAACTATGAAAAGAAGTAATAAAAACGAAACTATCAAGATTTTTGGGATTACACTCTGATATGGTTTTATGATAAATGTTTTGATTATTGACACTTTGGTTTTGACATGAGATATTATTATGAATGTTTTTATACTGTTGATTTATGAATCGTTAAACTAAAAACGAAATTTTTGGTCTTGAATTTTGGGATGTTACACGAATGGTCCCTATGGTTTAGTGTAATTTGTGTGTTTGGTCCCTAACTTATTTTTTGAACTCGGAAGGTCCCTACTGTTTGTTTTTGTTACGTGCTTGGTCCTTGCCTTCCGTATTTAAATAGACAAAATTGCAAGAATGGTCCCTGTGGTATGTCAAAACTAGCAAGTTTGGTCCAAAATGGGTTTGGCCTGCAAGGATGGTCCAATAGTTTCGTTTTGTTGCGAGTTTGGTCCAAAAATTTTAAAACTTTTTATAATGACGGATTTGCCCTTGGTATTTTCCCCTTTTCAATTTTTTTATTACATAAAAAAAAGTCTCTCTCTCTCTCTCTCTCTCTCTCTCTCTATGTGTGTGTGCCCTTGTATGTTCTTAACAAATCAAGACTCAACCTCGATTTCATAAACTTAATAACGAACTTCAAGAACTCTAGAACAATCTTCAAGCTGTAAACCTAGATGAAATTGACTTTTAAGATCAGAGTAGATGCGAAATCTTTCAAGATCGAACTATGTGTGTAACCCTTCTTATCCCTCTGATGAACATTTTTCAGTGAGTGTAGAACACAACACACACATAAACACACAATGGGTGTTCTGCGTTCTTGATTTTGGATCTGAAATAAAACCCAAATCCAAAAGTCGAAGGTGAGTATGTTCTTGGTTCCAAATCTGAAACGAAGATGAAGAAGGGTAGATTTGAAACAAAAACCACACACAAAACCCTACCTGAAACGAAAATCCACCATCGATTCGAACGAAAGGTAGATCGACGGGAGCACCGATGCGGCTGGGAAATCGCGATGAAGTGCAAGGGGGTCCGTCGAGACTGACAACCCTCTGTGGGTTTACTCTTCGTCTTCGCTGATCAGGAGAGGGAAGAAGTAACACGAATGGAAGTAGTCAAAATGGTGGTCTGGTGGTCAAACAGATCACGAGAAGGGATTCGATCTCCGGCGATCTCCTATTGGCTCTCCTCTCTTCGTTAGCGTCCACAAATCAAGGGGGAAAGGGAAACGACTGGATCGAAGGGAGAAGGAAGAAGAATGGAATCAAAATAGAGGTGTTTGGTTGAGGGAAAGAAATGGCAAAGTAGCAGCTGAGGGAAGCTGCGATCCTCAGGGGGTGTTTTCCGATCGAAAACAAGGAGGGGTGGAGAAGGGCTGTCGGTGCACCTTTATGTGTGTGTTGTGTTCTACACTCACTGAAAAATATTCATCAAGAGGGATAAGAAGAGTTACACACATAGTTCAATCTTGAAAGATTTCGCATCTACTCCGATCTTAAAAGTCAATTTCATCTAGGTTTACAACTTGAAGATCGTTCTTGAGTTCTTGAAGTTCGTTATTAAGTTCATGAAATCGAGGTTGAGTCTTGATTTGTTAAGAACATACAAGGGCAGAGAGAGAGAGAGAGAGAGAGACTTTTTTTTTCTTTTCTTTTTTTATATGTAATAAAAAATTGAAAATGGGAAAATACCAAGGGCAAATCCGTCATTATAAAAAGTTTTAAAATTTTTGGACCAAACTCGCAACAAAACGAAACTATTGGACCATCCTTGCAGGCCAAACCCATTTTGGACCAAACTTGCTAGTTTTGACATACCACAGGGACCATTCTTGCAATTTTGTCATGTAAATAATAGTCTTTTTAGGTAAGACAGAGACCAAGCGTGTAACAAAAACAAATAGTAGGGACCTCCCGAGTTAAAAAAATAAGTTAGGGACCAAACACGCAAAATATCCCAAATCATAGGGACCATTCGTGTAATTTACTCTACATTTATCGAATGGAAAATGACTTATGTGACATCCCCAATTTCTCGGCCAGAAAAGACCGATTTTAGTTTATGCTTTTAAAATAAAATCAGAGGTCCCTACTACACATAAGTACGTTGGGCGTACATACTTCGTACGCTGGGCGTAATTCCAGTCTCGAAGTTTGTGCCCGAAACTTCAAAAATTGATATCTTTCACATACGGGCTCCGTTTTTAACGTTCCTTATATCCACGCGTAGGTGAAATTATACTCTACAACTTTCGTTTACACTCTGTCGGCTAATTTTGACTTTATTTTTAAAATTATATTTTAACAGGCCGGGACAGGAAAAGTCCGTTAAAAATTCATAACTTCTTTATCCGACGTCCGTTTTCGTCTGTCTTTTTACCGTTAAATTACTATCAACAAGATCTTCGATTCTCGTTTAGGTTGTGTCGGATAAAAATCGCTCGATCTATAATTCGAGTTCCGGGCTACACACTACTTTATCAAATCTTAGAAAATTCATAACTTCCTCATACGAAGTCAGATTTGGACACTCTTTTTATGCACGCTCTCGGTTTAACGTGTACTACGACTTTCATTTAGATCGCTAAGGCTAAAAAGCACTTTATCGTAAACTCACTTTTTATGTCACACAGCGTCGTGCCGGTTCTGTCGCGAAACTTCGACAGGTCATAATATCTTCGTTATAACTCGGATTTCGGTATTCTTTATATCTCCGGAATTCTTGTTTCAACCACTACAACTTTCTTCATAGATATCGGGTTTTCTAACATTTATTTTCGACGCTTATTTTTATCCTTAACTTATTAAATCATAATAATTAAGTATAAAACACATAATACTCAAATAATACATCTTATTATTTCAAAACAAATTACAAAGGTTGGCCTAGACTATTACATCATCATTAATGTTTAGCCTAGAAACACGGGCGTTACAACTTATATATAAGCTAACTATGTTTCAAAATCGTTCAAAAAACGTCATTCAAGTTTGGTTTGTTCAAAAAACATCATCCAAGTTTGATATGTTCAAAAAACATCATCTAAGTAACATCTTTGTACAAAAAAAATACCAACGAACTACATATTTTGTTCAAATGTCACCTTATGGTAACCAGTATTTATCGGTAAAAATTAATTAAGAGAAAAAAAAATAAGGGAAAATAAATTAGGAGGGTAACTATGTTTCAAGAAACGTTCAAAAAACATCATCCAAGTTTGGTCTGTTAAAAAAACACCATCCAAGTAAGGTCCTTGCATAAAAAACGCCAACAAACTATACGTTTTATTCAAATGTTAACCACTAGTAACCGGCTTTTACAGGTTAAATGATGACTTCGCCTAATTATTATGACATGACATAATAATTAGTAATATAACATTAATTGATATATTTCTTTTTTTATAAATCGAATTAGGGTTTCTTCATGAACGAATGACTCTTTTTCACCTCTTATTGTTTGTTCTTCTACTAAATCAATGATCACCAATTCAAGCTTACACATTTAAAAAGACACGGAAAATATTTGATGATACAAACCCGTTTAGCTATAGGCATCCTTCTCGAATTTGGACATCAACTACAAAGGCTAATCTTGACATAAAGTTTGGGGGTTTGTCCCAACCAGATGGTAACTTTAACTGAAAGCTTTATCATTTCCTTCTGCTATATATTTATTCGGTTATGTGATTCATTTTTTGAATATATATTATATATATATATAGATATATATATATATATATATATAATATATAATATATATATATATATATATACTTTTGCTATGGGTAGTATAACAATCTTGAGCAATATACTTTTTTGAATATGTATGTCAATTTGTAATATGACTACAATAGTGTCTTGATGAATATTTATGTCAATTTGTAATATGGTACTGAAATCTACTTGTTTTTTGCATCTTGCCTAGCTACAGGTCACAACTACACTAGAATAGTAGAATGTATTGCAAATTATTATGCATCTTCCAGTTTTTATAAATTTCATTCATTGAGCTACTTATGGACATGTATCCCCTTGTTTTCACAAATTCTTGTTGTTCTTTTATAAAGAAGTCCTAAATCGATTTTAAATAAGAATTGTATCAAGTAATGTCATGTCACTGATTATTATGTCATATCATTAATAATTAGGTTGAGTCATCATTTAACCTTAGCAGTGGGTAACATTTGAACAAAACATATAGTTTGTTGGTATTTTTTGTACAAAAACTTTACTTGGATGTTGTTTTTTGAATGGACCAAACATAGATGGTGTTTTTTTGAACGATTTTGGAATATAGTTACTCTCCAGAGTCATTTTTTCGTACTTTTTTCCTTAATTAATTTTTACCGGTAAAAACCGATTACTATAATTTGAACAAAATATGTAGTTATACAATTGTCTTATTTAGATTATGTTTATTGAAGGGACCAAACTCATATTTTTTGAACGATTTTGAATTATCGTTATAAGTTTTTTTTTCCTATATTTAATTTAAAATATTTAGAGACAGAATATGTATAACTAACAGCAACGTGTGAAGAAATCAGCTACGTGTCCTCCTCCGGATCCTAATCAGTACCGATCCATCTTCATCAATTGATTTAATTCCCTTCTCTCATTCTCTGCATGTCTCTCTAAAACTCAGCGCAAATCAAAACAACGAAAAAACTCATAATTAGATCGTAATGGCGTCAGATCTGAAACCGGCGTACGCATACACGGTGGTTTACGTCAAGGATGTTGCTAAATCCGTCGAGTTTTACGGTAAGGCGTTCGGATACCCTGTTCGTCGTTTGGACGATTCCCACAGGTATATAAACAAATTGATCAATGGATCGATCCATAATTTCTTGATATTATGCATATGTTGTAATGAATTCATCAATGGATCGAAATCAGACATGAAATGAAACATGTCGTGGTTGGTTGTTGATAGATGGGGTGAGCTAGAAAGCGGACAGACAACAATTGCGTTTACGCCGGTGCATCAACATGAAACGGATGATCTCACCGGAGAAGTTCAGGAACAGAAATCGAAAACCAGAAGGAACCAAGTTGAGGTATGCTTTGCTTATGCAGACGTGGATGCTGCATACAAGGTGTTTGTCTGTTTGATAATTAATTTGCCTTTTTTGGTGTTTATACTTTATATACGATAAGATTTTGGATTTGTTTATATGACGGTTTGAATTGCAGAGGGCGGTGGAGAATGGGGCGGAGGCGGTGTGCCCACCGGAGGATAAAGCATGGGGGCAGAAAGTGGGGTATGTTCGTGATATCGATGGGATTGTGGTGAGGATGGGAAGCTTTGTGAAGTCGCGTTGAATCTTGTGCATGTATGTATGCATACACACTGTGTGGGGTTGTGGTGGGTCATGTGTTAAATAATATTATATACTAAGTATATTTTGCTTTTTTCATTGAGGTTATCGTTTCACGATTTCTTCATAAAACTCATATAGGGGATGTTCGCTTGTATGTAATTATCTGAAATTAAAAGAATAAGGACATTAATGTAAACTACAATCATCAGAACCGGATTTAAATACACAATCATATCAAACTAACACTTAGGGTATATGTTGTTAATCTGAATTTTTAAATGGTTGGAAATGTCAATCTGCCATGTGAAATAGAAAGAAAAGAAGAAAAAACATTTGATGAAAAATTATGATATTTTTTAAAACAATTTCTTTTTATTCACATACATTCACTCTCTTAACAATTAAGAGGGTTATGAATAATTAAGAGTTTAAGACATAAGAGGCTATCAAACGTCTTGAACATGAAAAATTAAATGTTTGTTTTTTAATTCTTTTTAAATTAAAAAGCTATCAATTAGACTTTTAAACTATTTATATTGATATAGAGCTTAATTTTAAATATTTATAAGTATTTTAATTGCTAATTTTAAATGAGACATTCTGTGTGAATGCTGTATGGATGTTATAAAATTAAAATAATAATAATAATAATAAATTAATTAATTAATTAATTAATAAAATTGTAAAATTTGTTCTAAAACCAAATATTTTTGTAAATTTACAAGCTCTTGTCGTGGGTACTTTCAATAGTTGTGGTGTATCCGGTAGATCGTCAACCAATTTACAAATTATACAAATTCATAAACAAGCAAATTGAAAAATCTTTTTTGGAGATATTATAAGTTTTTTTTATTTTATGCTAATTAATGGAAAAGGTTGACCAAAGAAATCTCTTATTATGGATACTATAAGACCATGTTTTATTTTGGATGCTATAAGACCATCTACACCAACATGTCGATCACACTTCAATTGTGACATATTAGATTATTAGTTAACCTTACATATCAAAAAGCTTATAGTCCAAGAGTATAGATGCTCACACTTCAATTATGACATATTAGTTAGCTTTACATACCAAAAAGCTTATAATCCAACTGTATTAGATAAAAAACAGCACTCAAAATAATTAAAAACTCAAATCTCATACTATACAAATACTATTCAAAACGTATAGATTAGTTAACCCTACTGTTAATGTAGGGTTAACTAATCTATACCTTTAAACGAGCCCGCGCCGAGCTATTCGGGATCGGCTCGTTAAAAGCTCGATTTGAAACCGATTTTAAACGAGCACGAGTCAAACTCAAGCTTAATGTTAAGCTCGTTTATTAAACGAGCTTGAGCTCGAGCTTATGTCACTAAGCTCGATTAGACTCGCGAGCCTAAACAAGCCTATATATGATATAGTTTATTATTGTTTATATATATTATAATAAGAAAACATTTGGGGAATTATGGATTTAGGTTATTAGTAAACAAGCCTATATAATATAGTTTATTATTATGGATTCAAGCACTCAAGACAAAAAAAAAAAAAATGAGCCAAGCTCAGTAAAAGAAAGCTCGAATCAAGTCAAGCCGCAAGCCTTGTACAACTTAAACAAGTCTGAGTCAAACCTGACCAGGCTCAGGTTTGGCTCACCCCTAAGTACATTGACACCTACACATTACTAACTATTTTAACTATATTATACTTTTAACCAACCGTCTTAATTATTTAAAACTATATTTATTAAATAAATATATGTAGTCAAAATATAATCGTTATATAAAAATTTAACATAAAGAAAAAAATATACTTTCATCCATAAACTACTAATTATATAATAGATGATAGTTATTAATTTAAAATAAAATTTTCAAAAAAACAAAATTGTGGGATGAGCTTGGCTTCAAATCCCTTGAATTTCTGTACATTACAGTATCCATACATAATATTTGACATGATGTTGTCAAATGTTTGTCAATCACATCACATCGATAAGTTAGTTCACTTAAAACTCATGTATTACATAATAATAATAAATGACAACAAAACAAGTAAAAAAAAATGGAAGCATCAATTTCCTATTATAAGAGTGTCTTTGTTAACAATCACTTGATTGGAAAATCCAACCAGCAAAAATCAGTCTCTGAGAACAAGGAAGTAGGTGTGGTCTTGTTGAATGCCAGGGGTACTTGTTTAACCCTCCGCCTTATCTGCAATTCACAAACAACCCCTCCAACTTATAATCAGACTTTACTATATAGTATATACTAAAAAAGTAGTCAACTTTGAAAATCTAAAATATATATAAAATATAAATAATAATATTACCTCCTCTTTGAATATGGTTGCATATGAACCTGAACTAAAATCCTTTATAGCAACTTCGGTTGTCTTGGATCTAACTGTCAAATCACTTTCTAGCGACAAAACAAATCTACACAAATACAAAAATGGACTTCAACTATAAATAAATAGTAGCATTTCTTTTTGGCTTAATGTAGAAATACTTTTACAAATTTGTCCTGATTTAGTTATCCATACATACCTAGACACAGGAGGGCAGTAGTGGTGGCGCAGGGTGTCAATTTCCCATAGAGAACTCCCTGCAAATTAAAAAAATATATATATGAGAAACTCATTCATTAAAATGGCAACCTACTTCCATTTACAGCAGTGTACTTTCATCTTTTTAAAACATTTATCCAATTATAGCAGTAAAACTTGTTTATTTGGGGAGGTTTTTCAAATGGAAGTAGAAGAAGGATGCTATTTCTTGTTGCATATAATCAAATCAATCCTGTTGCAGAAACTTACTCATAGCATTGGTTTTAAGAAGATCGGTTTCCTCATTGTTGAAATGATCGATGCCTGATTTGACCGTTTCACCATCATCCTCCTGCAAAAATAAAAACCATTCAAGAGGGCAGGCTGCTTCTAAAAAATGATTAAATCTGGTATGTTATGTTATGTTACCTACCTGGTGGACTAAACAGTTGATTGAAGGATGTCTTCTCAAAAGATTATGAAATAAGAGCAATAATAACAAGACCTCCAGAAGGAGGGACTGTAAGTGCTAGCCTGCTTAGTTTCTTAGCAAAAGAAGCAGCTAGATAAGCTGGAAGAAGTGGCGATTTCAGACATGAATCAAGAAGCTACAAAAACACAAATTCATATTTTAATAATATAATTTTTTAACAAAAAAAACAAAAAAAAAAAAAAAAAAAAAAAAACCCACTTGGAAGAACTTGGCTCTGTGTTTTGCTATGAAAATAGAAGGTTCTAGAAGAGCATAAAGCTTCCCATAAAGATTGGGATACTCCAAACCATGTTCTGTCATAAGAACAAACAAGCTGCTAAGTGCCATAACACTTATAACACCTCCAATGTCATAAGATCTTGTCAAAAAATCACTGCACGTCAATCCAACCAAACCACTCTTCTTGTTAAAACAAAAATAGCTAAATGCAAGAAATACCAATGCACTTTCATTCTTTCTATAACAATTCTGTTACAGCAATGTACTTCCAATTCTTTTCTTATCGTGCCATTGTACTTTCAACCCTTTTCTTATTAGGACATTAACACTTTGAAAAATCAATTATAAGCAGTGAAAATTGCTTTTTGTTTGGATGACATTGGTAAAAATGGATGGATTTTTGGAAGTACAATGTTGTAATAGGAAGAAATGGAAGTACCATTTTATAATAAACAAATCAACGAAAGCACATTGCTATTTCTTGCATTTGACAAAAAAAAAAAAAAAGGTATAATATGTCTAAGAAACGAAAAATCTTCAAATGAGACTCACCAAAGCAGAATGGGATTAGACAAATAAGGGATCACTGTCTGATGAAGGGCAACAAGAACCTAAGTATGAAAAGTCATATTCTTGTTTAGCTTTTTTTTTTTTTTGCTCTAATTTTGATACTTTGAGTGGATAATGTACAAAAAAGAAATGATTAAACTATGAAAAATTTACCTCCTTGTAGACATCAATAGGAAGTGGTAATCTAAGAAATGACATCCATGCTTTAGAGAATTTCAACTTCATCTTTTTGGAAATATTAGCCAAAGATGCAACCTACCATTAATAAAAGAAAGAAGTAAATTTGAAAATTGACAATACATATATTTTAAATTTTATAAATGCTAGAAAGGAAATTAAAGATCAAAAAAATGAAAAACTTACATCATTGCTAGACTTCTTGACCTCACCCTGTTTTTCTTCTGTTCCCTTGGTTTTCTTGGATTTTGTTTTACCTTCTTTGGAGAAAACACCTAACATTTACAAAAATTATACAGAAAGTTATAGTAGAAACATAAGAGCTAAATGCAAGAAATAACAACGTATTTTTATCTATTTGTGCATTATAGCATCCCACTTTTTTTTCTATTACAAAATGGTACATGTACTAACAATTTCTTTTCTTATCAAAACATTATACTTTGAAAAATCTAGCCATTTATAGCATTGTACTTTCATTTTTTTTCCTTATTGAGACATTTTCCTATGAAAATCCGGTTACCCTTTTCTTGCTATGAAAATCTACCCAACTATAGCACTGAAAATTGCTTCGGTTTAGGAAGACATCGTTATAATTGGGTAGATTTTTCAAAGTAAAATGTTGTAAAAGCAAAAAAAGAAGTATGATGTTCCTAATTTTTGTAACCCTGTTATTATGCAAAAATATAAAGAGTCACCTGATCCATTCCACATTTCATATTCAGAATTTTCACCAAGTTGTTCAAGGGGTGGTATCTTAGATATCACATGATGTATATTGCGGACTAAAAGCTGCCCACTGCATTTAAACAAACAAATTACATGTTTCATGTCAGATTTAATTTAAAAACATAGTGACAATTTGAAAATTAAATAAACAGTATGCTAATGACTACAAGCATGAGTAGTTTGAATGACCTTGCTCTTGCTGGACTTTCTAATTTGGTATTTGCACTTTCAGGATCAGTGTCTGGTGAATAGTTAGCTCATTAGAATCCAATAAATACTGAAAACAATGATGACAAAAGCTGTTTTCAACTTTTATTAAAACTATTAATATACATGTGCAAAAGTACCTTGACAATCTTTGACATCAAGTGTTCGTGTTATCTTTTCCAGGCTTATGTAAGTAAAATAGCTGCCACATAGGAAAGAGTGAAGGGTTATTCAAAAGAATGGATGTAATAAGCTAGAGAAAAGAAAAAAATCATGAATGATTAATTCTTTTTACCGGACATCAATGTACTTGAAATACTTTGTTACAAGCAAATTTAACAAAGTATCATACTCATCTGTGGAGTAAACCTGAAAAACATAAAAGATATTAAGAAAATCAATAAACTTTGCAACAAACATACAACGGAAACAATAGGCTAAGGTTTAGCATTAGAGAAAATAAGGAATGTGTGTAATTGTTGATTAGTGGGTAGTTTTTGATGAATGTGTATGCAAATTAAGTAATGAACAGTTCAAAAGGGTGTAGCAGACTCACCAGGCTATGGATGAATTTATGGTATATAGAAGAATGAAAGGTCCCTGCATTTCCAACCTTCACACACTCCATCAAAGTATCCATCACCACTTCCTGATATTCCACATCATTCAACAAGAATTAAAATCCACAAGTTTGTCATAATAGACAAGTAAAGATTAAAAGTACTTACTCTGAGAGCTTCTTCATCAAGTGATGGAGAAAGTGCTAGCTGAATTAGGCATTGAACAAAGTCATCAAATTTAGAACGAACCCATGTCTGGTAAATCGATTCGGGATCTTCAGAAGGTTTAGCTGAAGAAGAAGGAAGTTGGGGAAGAAGTGGGGTGAAGAAGGATTGGAGAGAAAGAAGAGATTCAAGAAGGAATTCACGAGGATAGGAGGACTTCAGATCGAGGAAATTAAGTAAAAGAGGAAGGTTGTTAATGTGAGCTCTTGATGAGAGCAGCTGTTCACCCAGTTTTCTGACATCAGAAAGATCTTGATGCTTCTTCTTCCTCTTATTGTTGTCTCCCAACCCTTTGTTCTTTCGCTTCTTTGATGATGATTGAATGGACGTCATTGATAACCCGACTTTGGAGGGAAGCTTGCTACCTAACAATCTATGAAAAATGAAGTGGAAGATTACATGCTTAAGGAGTTATCTTTGTTAATGTGGCAAGAAAGAGGTGTTCAGTAATATTTATGCTTCCAGAGTGTGAAAAATGAAACAAAAGATTACATGCTTACAAAGTAATAGGTTCTTTTTAACCTAAACTATAAAATAAGAAATGAAATATGTTTTTTTTTCTTCAAAGAGAGAAAGATTCATGAAAGCAACAAATCTTTTTGAGACATTGCATAATGAGTATATGAGCAGACAAGAGGTTTGTTTAATAGGTGCAAAGATGATCAAATACAAATACAAGGCTTGACAAGGAACAGATTTTAACAGATTATGGGCATCTTATCACAAAATTGAACTGAAACATTGGGTGCTACTGTTATGAACAGGTTCAATGTTAAAACTCTTTTGGCTAATCTTGTTCCCTGTTGATTTCAAACATATATCTAAAAGTTGCAGAGATCACATAGATTTCGATTTCAACAAAACTCATACGATTTTGATTTCAACAGAACAAACATAAGCAAAATGAATCATCACTAACGACATTGATAACCTTGAACTCAATGATTTCGATTTCAACAGAAAGCAGGTAAAAAAAGAAACCGAGAGCAGGAAAAAAAAATTTGAAGAAAAGTGAACCTGTAGCTGTAGGGTTGGAAGGTCTCCGGCTTAGCTGTTGGGTGCCAGGGTCTCCGGCCGGTGGCTTCACAGGGGAGGCGATGGCATACGGCGGCGAGCAGGGCAGGACTCGCTTGAGGAGCCGACGAACGTGAGAAGCAATGGAGGCGTCTCTGTTTTTGTGGGTTTGCGTAGCATGTGTATAAGGTTTTTATTAGGTCAAGGGTATATTGGTAAATTCCGGTGAAACTAAAAGTTTTTTTATAGAGATAATTACAAAATTAGCCAAATACACTAATTACCTTACAATTTTAACCAAAAAATAAAAATTGCAAAAATAACCACGAAAATCGCAGATGGAAATGACCCATCTGCGATTTTGCCTTTCCATCTGCGAATGTACAAGCGTCTAAAGCATAGTTGTGCCTTAGGCACTTGTACATTCACAGATTGATTAGTCCATCTGCGATTTTCGTTTTCCACCTGCGATTTTCCAGAAAAAAAAGTATAAAACCGCTTTTTTTTCTTCATTTTTCACTCTTCAATATAGAAAAACTCTCTCTCTCTCTCGGCGATTCCCAGTGACGATTTCTTGAAGAAAATGGACGATTTTTTCAACAATCCCAAAAATATGGTTAGATTTTAACTCTTTTTATGTTTTAATTAACATTTATTTACTATGTCTTTATTATTTTATTATTTATTGTATTAGTTAGTGTAAAAAAATGAAATTATATTGTTTGTGATTGGGTAATTTTGTTGTATTTGATAGTTTTAATATTATTTATTAGTAAACTTGAAGTTTTAATGTTATTTTGTTAGTGGTTGTATATGAATGTACAAGTATAGACTGCGTAGAATGTGTATTGGTTGGTTGTACATTTAGTAAAATGGTTAGAATATGTTATTTTTTTTAAGTTCAAAGTTAAATAAATTGTTACAATAATGTTTACAATATGTTTGGTTAGTGGTTTAAGTTGATAAATTGATATAGCATGGTTAGAATATGTTATTTGTCGTTTGTATAGTTGTTGTATAACTTGAAAATTTGTATATACTTATCGTATAAGTGGTTGTATAACTTGAAAAATGGTTATAATAATGTTTACAATATGTTTACAATAGTTGTTTGTATATTTGTCGTATAACTTGAAAATTTGTATATATTTGTTGTTTAAGTTGAAAAATTGTTATAGTATGGTTATAATATGTTATTTTATTTAATTTGAAAGTTAAAAATCGTTTGTATACTTGTCGTATAACTTGGAAAATTGTATATAATTGTCGTTTAACTTGAAAAATTGTTATAGTATGTTATTGTTTTTCAACGTAAATGTATAAATTATTGATTAAATGTTGGTTTTTGCATTGTTATTATTGTTTATGTTTGTAATTTGAATGTTGAATTACTATTGCATTTAATAATCTGATATTTTAAAATGAAATAGTTGTTTAGTTTTTTAATATGTTATTGTTTTTTGTGCAGCATGATTCTAATAATTTAAATGTTAAAGTTATTGTGAACTTAAAATGATCGGGGTGTAACATATGAGAAGTATTTGATGTGTTAGATGGTGTCAGACGTGATATTTTTAGAGAAACAATATTTGGTTACTTGTTGGACGTCCCTCGTTTACAAGGGGACAGATTGTTGTTCCACAAGATGTTTCTTCATCAGATACGGCCGGACGCTGTTTTATCTCCAGATGGAATAAAACAGTTATATTTTAGAGTGAATGATACGAAAATGGTATATGGCCCGAAATAGTTTTGTTTGATAACCGGGTTGAATTTTGGTGAGTATCCTAAAAATATCGGGAAAAAAATGTCAGAAAAAATAGTTAGTAGTAAAAAAAGATGTTTATTGCGTGAACGTCTATTTCCGAAGCATACAAATAGTTCGGTGAAAATCGGTGACCTGAAAAGTTTTATTTTAAATCATTCATTCTTAGAAGTTGGCGACGCTGATGCAGTTAGAGTATGTTTGATATACATTTTGTGTGAAGGTTTTTGGGAAAAGAAATAAACGATCGGGTGCCACAAGATTGGTTTTTTTTGCTGAGAATTTGGATGTCTGTAACAGGTATTTTTTGTTTACTTTGAAAGTTTCATATTATTAATGTTAATTTATATTATAACTAATATTTTTTTGTTTTGTTAGTTTTGTTTGGGGTAGCTATTTATGGGATTTTACCTATGAGGACCTTGAGGATACGTGGAACAAGATAAATAAATATTTATCACTGCCTGAGCGTCGTCAAACTTTAAAATACTCCGTCTCAGGATTTACGGCTCCATTTAGGGTATAAAAAACTATTTATATTTAAATGGTTTTATTGTTATGTTAGTTATTTTAATTTTAACTTTTATTACTATAAATCTATAATTGTAAAAATCATAGATATGGATATATGAGATGCTTCCGGCTGTTCGTGTCTGTGGATTTGTATTGAGAAAAAATAGAGACGTTCCTCGGATGAAACGATGGAGTGGCACAAAAAAATTGAAATGTGTTGATGTCAACAAGATTTTTTCAAAGACACAGGTTTATAATTTTTTTTATTTTTAATAAAATTCATTATTATACTTTTATATGCATTTTTAATATGTTCAATTTTTTAGGAGGGACAACGACCAAGAAATAAAATGTCACCGAGTGATGATGAGATGACATCTTGTTATTATATGTCATTTCAAGAGTATGTATATGGTGAACGGAAATCAGTTCCATCCCCAGTACGGGACCATTTTAGGAGACAAGACGAATCTTCGTCTAGTATGTCGTCTAATGGTCGCTCTCACGGTAGATGTGGGCGTAGTGGGAAACCCAGCTTAGAGGAGGTGTTGAAACGGCTACATGCACTGGAGCAACAGGTGTTTATGAACCGAGAACCTACTGAGGTGTTTGTTGAAGAAGTGAATAATGAAGATCTATGGAATAACATCGGTTTTGAGGAGCATGTAGTATTCCAAACAAAATTTGATCAACCGGTTAGTTACACGCTACATTTTTTTTATAATTTATTAACATATTTGAAAATTTTTGTTCATATTTTATAGTTGAAAATGTAGGTTGTAGAAGATGAAGGGATGAATAAAAATAATACAAATGAAAATGTTTTTGGTGATATTGAAGACGACAAGGTTATTATATATATTACAGTTACGATTTTAATAATTAAATTTTAAGGTGTCTTTCGTTAATAACTATAATTTGTTAATTTTAATGTAGGAGTTGGAGGAGAGGAATGGGAATGCGGGTTGTAGTAGGAACAAATTTGAAGATGATGTGTTTGATGTAATGATTATAATCAAGCTAAAGAGGTTGTTATACTTACATTTATTTTATTTTTTTTAGTAGATTGATATATTTTTTAATTAGAGATTATTGTTTATTAATTTAGGTGTCGGAGGAAGATGAAATAATAATTACGGGAAATGTAAATTATTATGATGCTTATGGTTTTGATGACAAAGAAGTTACACCCGATAAACCGAGGGCTCGAAATCCATCAAAGTATTTGTGCCCTCCTTACACCGAGGTATTCATTTAATTTAAAAGCTTATATCCTAATAATAGAATATTATTTTTATGTGAATTATTTGAAAGATAGAGATTTAAACATTTGAATATTGTTTTAGTTGCACACGACACCGAAGCAAAAAAGAAGGTTGATATCAAATCAACAAGTCCCGTTCCTCCTCCAGCATTTGCTGTTGTTCACGACTTCTCCGTGTTGAGCCTGCAACCTTATGTAGCAGGCGGTGAGGTTGTGATCCAAAATTATTTATTTCATTCATATGAGGTGCAGCATCGTTTGTTTAATTTGGTGTTAGATAGAGATTTTTAGAGCGCCTTGTTTGGGCATACACACGACGAATGGTTGGAGGCAGCGGTAAAGTAATTTTTAAATTATCGTATTATTTTAAAAGTATTTTGTTTTTTAGTTAATAACAAAAATAAAAAACAAGTCCATGGGTTATTTTTAACGGAAAATAGAGCGGTCTACATGAAATACTGATTATTTTTAACAACCTTCCAAACTTCCTCATATTCGAAGTCTCTGCCTTCACGCTCACAGATGTAAAAATCTGTAACAACTTCCAAGAACTCTTCTTCGTCCCGACAACGAAGTTTGGTACTTATAGCATAACTACACGCTCGATTGAACCATGTGACTTCTTACTTTACATCCATCCATTTACTAACAACATCTGATTGTTGTCGTTGTTGTACTTCTCCCATCTCATGGTTGAACAAAGCTGTTATGCGGGTCCATTCATCACCTACTAGGCAATGCGGGGGAGCAAGTAACGATACACCCTCCTTAACACTTAACCAGCATCGTGTTAGAACAAACACCTCGTTTGTCGTCCATGGTCGTTCAGAATTAGAACCAGGTACTTCATTCGAAGAAGTGCTGCATTCGACGACATTTCTAAATATGGGAGTTGGTTTCGTTTAGGTGATATGGGTGTTTGGTTTGTAGATCTTAAACATCTATTTATATTAATAAATACAGGACTATGAATTAAAACTTTGACTACGAAATGGTTGCATTTGGACTATGATTTGCAGGTTATTGCAGTGATTTATCATGTCAAACAGTCATTTATGTCTTGTCGCTTCAGAGTTTGACTACGATTTGCAGGTTACTACAGTGACTTGTCATTAATGTGTAGTCATTTCAAAGTTGGACTATGAATTACAACTCTGACTACGAAATGGTTGCATTTGGACTAGTATGTATAAATACCACTTATGGCACCAGTTTATTATAATCTCGACTTTATTATGAGTTCCTCACAAAAATTCGAAGTTTGCTCATGCAACGAAGTAGATTGTTACTACTGTGATTCAGTCGACCCTTTTTTTACACCCTCTTCCGTCGGGCCATATATGTCAGATGAAAATTTTGAAGAATTGAAGAAGGCTGAAGAACAACAAGAACAAGACAAAGAGTCATCTCGACTTCTCACTCAACGTGGTAATGATATTGCATCGGAATGCAAACAAGCTCAAGAATGGATAGACCTCAATAAAAACAAAATCAAAGAGCATGAAGAATGGATAAAAAAGACTAAGAAGGCAATCAAAACAACTGAAAAATGGCTTGCTGAGAAGGACGAGCAGTTGATACACATTAGGGTGCAAAAGTATCGTTTGGAAGATAAAATGAGAATTAGGGATGACTATATAACAATCGAGAAATAGAAGTACCCATTGCAGTTCCCTGAGTTTAAAAATTAGTTACAAAAATGTTGTAATATTATCATGATACACCTTAGGGTGCAAAAGGATCGTTTGTTATTTTTTTTTTTAAATAACATCTTGTAATTGTTATAATCTGCAAAATAAATATTATAATATAAAAGCTTCATTAATTGTTATAATCTGCAAACTAAACTAAAATATGAAAGCATAGAAATGTCTTGTAAGATTTAATACAAAAATTACAATACATAATAAGTTAACAACTCTTCATTTCAAGGTTGTTTTATATCAAAATCAGTGTCATAGGTTTGTGAACAACTCGCTGAACCACCAATATTAAATGTCATTTCTGCAGTAGAAATTGTCGTGCGACGTGCTCCACTACCGGACGCTCTTCCAGTACAATTGTTTCTCGTGTGTCCTAGTTGACCACATGTAGAACACTCTTTTCTAATTGGACCCTCGCCTTGGGATGGAATGCGGTCTGTGTTTCTTGGCCTGCCTGGCTGACGTTTATCTATTATAGGTGGCTTAACAATCATCAAATCATTGGGGATATCCAATTCGGATGGCTTTGGCAAAGGGTTTATTGATTCCCCATACGTTTTCCTCAGTGTTTCGGTAAAGTAAGCATTTAATGCATACCTCGAGCAGTCTTGGTAGTTGTTCACTATTAAACATCTAATGACATGACCACAAGGTATCCCATCAAGTTGCCAATGCCTACATGTACATGTCATATATTAGAAATCAGCAATCACGTTTTGTGCCCCCTTTGTGACCTCGCATTTCGTATTTGAGATCATGCGAACATCCCACTTACTAAAAGTTTTTTTGTTTTCTTTTACAATATCATCGGCCCAAGGGGTGAGTGTTGTTGTTGCTTCCGCTAAAAAAACAGGCAAAATGAAGAAGTTAAGATCAATAAAATTTAATAAAACATTAATATTAAAAATTAACTTAATACCTGCAAAGTTACGTCTTTGAAACCACCACTGTTGCATTGTTGCACGAAAAAAACCGATCAACATAAGTATCGGCACCTTACGTGCGTGTCTAGATAATGCATTTATAGACTCCGCACTGTTGGACAACATAAGATTGTATCGGTTCCCTCTAAAATGTGTCCTAGACCAAGTTTCTGGATTTATACTTTTTAAGTACTCCTATACTGGTTCTTTTGTCTTTTTCATAACATCAATGGCAGTGTCAAAAGCATCAACTGTGTACGCCCTACAAGCCTCCCAAAAAATTCCTTTAACCGTGTTACTCTTCCCGAATCTAGATACTATGTTGAAATACAAATGGACACCACATATTCCGTGATGGGCGTGAGGAAAAATGTTGGCAACGGATGTTGCTATAGATGGAGACCTATCAGATATAATTGTAAGCTCCTGCATATTGCCTATGCAATCACGTAGTTTTTGAAAAAACCATGTCCAAGAATCTGTACACTCATTTTTGCATATACCATATGCAACCGGTAATATTTGGTTTTGTCCGTCCTTAGTAACTGCAAGTAACATGGTACCTTTGAACTCGCCCTTTAGGTGGGCTCCATCTACTACAAGGGTCGGTTTGCAAAAATTGACAAAAGCGCGTACCTACAATACATTGTATATCTATTCAAATACACCAAAATAAAAATGAAAAAAATAATAAAATATTAAAATACTAACCGAGCAACCAAGTGCGACGTACAGAAACTCAAAGCGATCATCACCATCTGTTTTAATATGTGTCACCGTACCCGGATTATGTTTGACCAAATTGTGGAAATAAGCCGGAAGTTTGGTAAAAGAATCCTCTTTCGTACCCCTTAACAACAACAATGCATATTGCTTCGCACGCCATGCCTGATGGTATGAGATATTGATATTCAATTGAGCATTCATATCATTAATAATATATTTTCCCCGATAAACTCTACTATAATCTTCATCCAAAACACCAGCAAGATATTCACCCAAAACATATTTGTTTGCTTGCCGATGATTAGGTTGCAAAATTGTTGAAGAACATGTGTGTACATCAACAAATTTATTCACTTGGAAAAGTCCATCAGAATTTTTAATTGCTTTTGCTCTTAGTAACCAAGAACAATTTTTCGAAACACACACAGCCTCATACCTTGATTTGGTAGATCTACTTGACTTCGTCTGAAAACCTTCTCGAAAACATTTTTTTCCAATACACCGCTTTAAAAGTTATTTATTCTTAAATATACTCTCACATTCAATCTTTTGAAGATTGATGTCTACCATCTGTGTTGGGATATCTTCATTAATATCAACTGTGCATGCTGGTACAGGGGGCATACCGTAAAAAAGGTTATCGAGAAACTTAGCTTTAACTTCATCACCCAACTCATCTCCATTTGAATTGCTTTGTAAGTCGGTTATATCTAAACGTACATCAGCAACATCAACATAATCCCCGTAAACATGCTTTTTTTCATCTTTTTGACGCAAATTTTTTTTCTTTTTACTTTTATCTACTACACGCCTATTCATAACTTTAACTTCTTGTTCGGAAACATCAACACAACGACCACCCACGTCATTAAGATATGTACCAACATACTGTAATTCTCAGGATCCACATAGTGAATAGGTGAATAACTAACATTAACATTTTCAGCAACACTGTGAAATTGAGGTACACTAGGAGTATTGAAAGTACCTATCGGATCGTTGCTCCCTTTATAGCTGTATAAATTACCAACCGACTGATTTCCACTCTGACCAGCCTCATTAACCTCATCTCCTTCATCAACCACCACAAACACTTTCACAGCCCTTCCTCCGCTACATTTGATTACATTTATCAACATTCTAACATCCATGTCTTCAACTATAGCTATATAATAATTCAATTCAGGATGATGGAAACGAAGACTAATTTTTTATTTGTCTAACAAACCAATTTTGCTTCTCACCAAAGATACAAAATCACTATAACTAATATACTTAGAAAATATCAAAGTGAATTCAGAAATACCTCCCTGTGGACATACGTATTCCAGATTTGTTTCAATAACTTGCCATCTCCCACCGGTTACAAGACAAACCAAATATCCAATCATTTTTAGAGAGATTTTAAAGAAATTTCCTAAAGAAATAACAACTAAACTGATAATTTTCTACAAAAGTTTATATATAATAAGGTTATTTCGTAGTCAAACCCATTGATTTCATAGTCAAATTAAAAAAAAATATTAAAAAAAAAACATAAATTCGCAGATGAAAGAGAGATGAAATCGCAGATGGACACAGTCCATCTGTGCTTTAGCCTCTTGTACATTCGCAAATGGGATGTGAAAATCGCAGATGGACCATTCCCATCTGCGATTTATGTGGCCAAATTTGCAATTTCAGTTTTTTGACTATTTTCCACAAAGTAATTAGTATATTTGGCTATTTTTGTCATTTTCTCTTTTTTATATAAGTTAACCGCTAAGCAGCAATTGTATCATGGCATATTGGGTAATCTAACCTTATAAATGAATTATTTGCAAAAAAAAAGACCAATATTTTTTTTCTCTAAACTAACAATGAATATAATATTTTGGAGAGGTCTTCGGAATACCGGAGTAGTATTCCGGACAGTCGTTATGGAATAAGTTTTTTTTTATTCCTATAAAATCTAAATTGCAGATGTAATTTTAAAAATCAACAAAAAACTAATAAATACATAAACTTAAAGGATTTGTTTAAAGTAATATTACAATGTTTAAATGGTCTTTATCCTTGTATCCCAAAAAAAATCGTCAGTTGTTACGATATGACATTGACCATGTACCACTTTTACCCTCTATAAAATATGATTTCCCGACAATCAACATCTTCAGGAACCAACACAAAAACACCTCACAAATTTCTCTATTGTCAATCTATTGTGGTACGTATGACGTTTTTTCGAGGGTCATGTTGAAACTCTAAAGTGAGATTCCATTGGTTAGTTCGGTACCCCAGTAGTTGATACCAACTAGTTGTCTGTGGATGCGGGTTCTCATACTTATAAACATTCCTCTTCTTCTGAAAAGTAGTTGCTCTTCAATTGACTATCGTATATAGTCATTTTGAATGTCTTCAAATCCAAAACACCCAAAAATCAGTGAGCAGTTAGTATATTGATTGGGATGTAAAGCTACAAAAAATGTTAGAAATAATTAATCAACAAATAACATTATATTATAAATTATTGTTACTTAGTGTTAACGTATCCCTCTAGGATTACGTCAGAGATAACGGGACGGTTATCTAAAGGACGACTTAGCTAACGGTCGTTACTCAGCTTAAGTGCTAGGCACGGGCTCTCGCCCTAATGGCCTCGTACTTAGGCCCCGACGTTCTAGCACCAAGGTCCAGCTCATAATAATTGGCCGCGGTCTATAAGAGGCCAAAACAGTACCAACCACTCCCCAGAGCAACAAGTGTAGCACTCAGAGTGTTGTTCTTCGGTGGTTCTGCACCAATATCAGATAACCGTTAGTGGTGCACGATCCGCCAATACGATGCCTCCACGTCCTGAGGATCCAGACAAGACAAAAAGTATTGTCGGGGACATGCTCCCCGGACGACAGGTATAGAAGGATCCTTCTTCGCTGGAAGAATGGATGGTCTCTCTCTCTATCTCAAATTAAACCCTAGTTCTCCCATACAACTACTGCCTAGACCGTCAGAGTCTCGTTCTGGGACCCCCTCCCGGACGACGACTAACGTCGGGTCTTTCTTTGTTGTGATTCTCAAGCTTAACTTAAGTGAAACCACCACATACGACGTTAAGCTCGAAGACATATCACAACACTTAGGTAATATAATCCAAACACAATTATATTGTATCACAGTCTGTCCAGGCTGGGTAAACAGTTTTTGCATCTATATCACTCCGGTCAAATGCATCAGTGTTGAAAGCTAACGGCACAACCGTCCACTGAGCATCATCTTGTTTACGCTCTATCAATAATGAGATCCACAACATGATGTGCTGCCAAGCAAATATTTTGCAGTAAAGTAAGTATTGTTATTAGAAGCTTAGTACTGAATGAGCACACAATTATATAACTTACATCACATTCTAACCAACCTTCATGACTCTTCGCATATAACCACGTCTAAAACTCAATTGTCAGAATACCGGTAAAATAAAGGTGAGCAAACAACATCGAAGCATCTCGTTGTTTATATAGACTGTGTACGATATGTTCTAAAAGATTGTCCAACGGTGCTGGCTGTTGTTGTGCAACACATTTTTTTTTCATTTGTATCCATGGGGACTTATACCACACATACATAACTTGTTGGCGCATAGAACACCTAAGGGGTGTTGTCAGCGGCATTTTATATTCATCCCTTGGAATCTCTTTTACATCAGACGATTGAATACGTGGAGACGGCTGCTCAAGGCCATGATTCAGCGGTTGTTCGGGTGTGCATGACCCATGATTGTGCTCCCACATGTCATTGTACTTTATGGTACCAACATCTTGCAGGATAAGTGCATGTACGGTTCCATAGTTTTTAATTAAAAACAATACAAAAACATAAGGACCATAAATTTAAATAAAAAATATATGGGAGTGAAATAATTAACAATGTACGTCCACCCCCTTCGAGGTACCAACATCGTCTTTCGGGAGTCTTATTGATAAGTTTTAGAAGCATGGCTAAAGTAGCTCCATGCTCTACTAAACACTTATCTTGTGACCTCATATTCTCACGACATTCACTAATCTTGTTTTGCAATTGACGGGCCTCGTTTTTCAAGTCAGTAATAATTTGTTCCCTATCAATTGATGGTTCAGAGACCAGCTGTGGTATTGGTGGCGGGTGAGATGAAATATCTATCAGTGCCTTCTTTTGTCTAGGATCATGTGTTGGGGTGCCTTTGGGTGATGGTGTTATGGAAGGTGCCCTCTGAACTTCTGTGTCGGGAAAATTAGGGCAATCAATCCATGTTGAGCTAACTATCCACCATTCATCATGGCTCTCAGCTTCTGCTGGCTCCAACTTCTCTACAAGTTTGTTATCATGCTAACAAAATTATAAAACTATGAATAAACATAAATTATACATATAAAAGAAAATCTTAAAATATATAAGTAACCATACGTCGTCGATTGTTATAAATGGGTTGCAACGAGTCTTTTGTAAAGGCCTCAATTTCGACCATGCAACAACCCGGGGGATCACATTCACTTGTCGGGTACCAAACAAACTGCTCACAGGAAAAGTTTCAAGAATCCATATATGAAAAAATCATTTATTAGAATGTTAGCAAACAAAAAAATAATAAATTATTAATCATGTAATTACCTTGAAAGCGTATAAAAACTTTTTTATCTTTCGGTTCCACTGGATGTATATGTTTGTCAATCTTATTAAATACATAAATTAGTTGTGAGTACAGTTGATCCCGAATTACCTCCCCCCCCCCACGGATATCTGCGACATAAAAAATTCCCAATTAAATTTCTAAAAAATACTACTAATGATAATTAATTAACCTTAAAAATAATCCGTAATAAATTAACTACAAGAAACCTGTTGAATTTATCAAAGTCAGATACCAAAGCCAAATACTCCTCTATAACATGTTGTTTAGCTAACCGCCCATTGAACCCCTTATCTAACAGATACAAGAGACATACACAGACCGCATCCTCGTCCAATAATTAATTAAGTGAATGCTCAACACATTCTTCACATCATCTAATGTGACAGTGACATTCCTCGCGACCATAGGAAACACATGGGAACGGAAGGCGGCGCCAGAACCGGACGTAGGAAAATAATATCTAAAAAGGAAGTCGGTCACAAAGCAAAATTCTTTCTTCCCAAAAGACAACTCGTAACCCATAATCTCAAAAACCATTTCCTCTGCTTGTCTTCGG